TTTGTGTTCTAGGATGGTACAAATGGCCAAGAAGTAGACGGCCGGGGGAGATGTCCTTACGATCCTTTGCACAATAGCACTGCTATATACACAGGCGGTCAATTGTATTCGGGCACTGTGGCCGATTTCTCTGGTAGTGACCCTCTTATTTACAAAGATCCTATGCGGACTGAAAGATTGGATTTTAAGCAGTTGAACGGTAAGAAAAACTCATAATATCACTCTGTTTGTGCATGACTAGATTTGAAATTATATAATTCTTTTTAATTGTTGTACAGACCCGAACTTCGTGAGCTCGTTGGAGTATAAGGACTATGTATTTTTCTTCTTCCGAGAGATCGCTGTCGAGTACATCAATTGTGGAAAAGTGAGTGTTTTTTTTTCTTCGATTTCATAATTATTCCTTGAGTTATAAGATTATGTAAACCTGTCCGTCTGTTTATTTAGGCCATTTACTCGAGGGTAGCCAGAGTATGTAAAAACGACAAAGGCGGTCCTCATTCGTACAGGGACCGGTGGACGTCGTTTTTGAAGGCTAGACTCAATTGTTCTATTCCCGGAGAATATCCATTTTACTTCGACGAGATACGTGAGTGACCTTCAAACTAAAATAATATTGTTATATTTTATCTGACGATTTATTTTTAATCGATTGTAGAAAGTACAAGTGACATCCTTAACACCGCTTTAACTGGCATCACAGATCCAATCGTGTACGGAGTGTTCAACACTCCTGTGAACTCCATCAGTGGATCAGCTGTCTGTATGTTCAATATTAGTGACGTCATCGAAACATTTATGGGATCCTTTAAAGATCAAGAAGCTATGGATGCCAATTGGTTACCCGTGAAAAAGGTATGTGTGCGATGTCCGATTTTAAATTACTATAATAGTATATGACAAAATATATTAACACGTAATATGTTTAATCAAACAGGTACCTGAACCTCGACCTGGTATGTGCGTGGAAGACAGCAGAACTCTACCGGATGTGACAGTGAATTTCGTCAAAAGTCACTCGCTTATGGACTCCGCTGTACCTTCGTTGTTTTCTATGCCAATATTTACCAGAATATCACAACAATCTAGGCTTACAAGTATAGTGGTTGATAATCAAGTGGCAGGTTTGAAAGGACAACATTACGATATTCTTTTCATGGGCACTGGTATGTATAGTCATTCAAAATTCTTTTTTGTTTTTATTATGATTTTATTTATATTTGTGATTTAAAATAGATGATGGACGTTTGATCAAAGGATCTCTGCATACCAATAAAGGATCACCAGAGTTTATTCCTGTAGAAGAAGTTATTCTTATACCCAACTCACCAGTTCGTTCATTGAATTTGATAAAATCGACAAGCAACAAGTCTGGAAGGATAGTTGCAACTTTTGATCAGGATGTTGTATCTATTCCATTGGAGCGTTGTAATTTGAAAACTTCATGCCAGTGAGTTAAACTGTTTTGTTGTCTATAGTTAACATTGACTATATTAAGATATAGAACATTAAATCACAAAGAAACGAATTTAATTTATAATTTTATACAGGGAATGCATAGAGTTACAAGATCCTTACTGTGCCTGGGATGGTTCTCACTGTGTTAATCAATTAGAGCCTCAAAATTCATTACCTGGTACTCTTATTCAGTCAATTGGCTCAAATATAGATTCAGCAATTTGTCCAAAAGGTAAAAAACTAAAAGGTTAATAGTTTCTTGTATATTTAAATGTTTTATGCATTTTTTTATAACGAATACAAGTACCCTATTTAATTATGTGACTATTCACATGTAAAATAAATGTAATAAATCAATTCTTATTATATAAGTATAATAATATCAGAAATTGTAATTTTTTCTTCTTCTTGGGTAATAATAAAGTAAAATTACTATTATTTGTAAAATTAAATATTTAATTTTGTATATTTTCAAAAATTTATTTTAAAATATATATTTTACATCCCTACGGTAGAAGAGTATACATAACAATGTATAATTAAATAGAATAATTAATACCTAATTAAGATTTATAAATAATAATTAAATTGTTGTATTATAATTTTTATAGATATCTCCGATTTAAGATCATTACCAGCATTATCTGATGGTAGGTTTCAAAATAAATATTAATTACAACTATAAAAATGTACATTTTATTTATGATTTTAAAATGTTTATATTTTACAGATACAAGTAATAACATTGACTCTAATTTAGCAAGATGCCCATCTTGTGAACCATGTTCAACAGAAAATGTTATTAACAAAGGTGAGTTATATTATTTTAGTTTAAGTAATCTATAGTACAATAGTACTTATACTTACATTAGTTCATAAAATTAATTTCACCCCGAAACTTATTTAATTTTACAGTTGTTACAAACGATATACCTGTCGTTGCATTAGGAGATGTTATTGGTCTTATTATGATGATGGTAGTTTTAGCCACATTAGTGATTGGATTTGCAGTTGGTTATATGTGCTCACGGCACTTTCGTCATACAGACCCATTCTCAGCCATGGCTGTTCACACCCATCACCAACTTAATCGATTGGCCGATATGAATGCTTCAGCTGAGATAGGCAATGCACCATTCTTGCCATGTGCCAACAACAAGGCTCCATTAAATTTGTTGGTTAATGTAACCAAAAGTAAGAATGACACCTTGGAAAAGAACTTAGATGCCTCCATTGAAAACAAAACTTTACAAAAAGTTAAGAAAACTTATATATAAGAACTATTTGAAGTTGATTTTAGCAAAATCTTAAGGAGAACTCACTGACTGATTTTGAACATTTGTATATAGAAAAAGATCTCGTATATAATTAAAATGGATCATTTTTGTATAAAAGAACCCATGATGAGTCATTTATATTCAACTGATAATCCACTGTATAGCTGATTACACTTGTTATTGATAACTATCATTGTAATAAAAATGTTTGAGTTCTCCTTAGTATGAATATTAGTTTTCAAATGAATATTCATTATATACCGACCAAACGATATATCAGAAAGTGTTTGCTTTTATTAATATATTAGAAATTATAATATTAAAAAATTATATGGAGGCAGTTAACATTGTCCTGCTACTTGTTGAAACTATCAAATATTTATTAAGTGTTTTGTTAATTATAATTTATGGACGAAAAATCAATTTCAAAGATTGAAGGTATCCTTATTTTGATTCAAAAATTATCTATGTTGCTAGACAATTTTTGAACAAAATGATCCACTTAATGACCGGATGTAAATACAAATTATTTTATGTATATTACCTATTGTATAGAAATGTATTATTGTCATTAATTATTTTTGTTATGTTGACCTTATTTTTTTGTAAGAAAACTTGAAAAATGATATGTTTAATATAAACATAACTTTTTTACTCATTCTTCATTCCATTTACAAAAGAGAGTATTTGACCTTTCATGTTGTTGGATTAATTACAATTTATATAACAGTATTACTAATTATTATATTAATTATTTTTTATTCTAATTATTTTAAAGCTAAATTCATATTTGAATTTCCGAATAACGTTTAGTGCAATTATACACAATTGCTCCATCCTTTTGATCTCTCATGAATAAATTTTATTGCCTAAAGTAAAATTTGTATTTGCTTCAATTATAAATAACTATTTTTATTATAATATGCAAATCAGTACCATGCATTATTACTTTTATATTATTTGTTGACACATATGTTTTATTAAATTGTATTTGAAGAACTTAAAGATAAAATTTATTATTAGTTACCACTGTTTATATACAATTATAAATTATTAATAATGAATTGAACAATATTATGTAAATTATTAGATTTTAATTTTTTA